AAAGTTGACTTGAAGTCCCAGGTCTGCCACAGTTTGTAACGCAAAGGTTATGTCTTTTTGTGCCTTGGCATAAGAGCTTGCTACAATCAGCCAGTCGTCTATGTAAGGAAAGAATGACTAAACAACAACAACAAAGACCGCTACAGGAGCTAGACAGTAAAAGTTCTTGGGGCGGTGGCAAGCCCAAATGGCAGGGTACAGAATTGGTACACTGATCCCTTGAACACAAATCAGAGATATTTGCGATGGTGCTCGTGTAATGGAAACATGAAAATAAGTGTCCTGTAAGTCTATAACGACAAACCAATTGCCTGGAGAGAGAAGAGGGATGATGGGTTCTAAGGTGCCCATTCTGAAACGTCTCAGACGAAGGTAAGTATTCAGACACCTGAGATCTAGAATTGGTCACAGACCTCCATCCTTCTTGGGAACTGTGAAGTATCGGGAATAGAATCCATCCAGTGCTTCCTGAGAAGAAACACGCTGAATGGCAAGCTTCTGGAGAAAAACAGAGACTCTGTCTTCTAGAGTGGATGAATGTGATGTGATTTTGATATAACCAAGAGGAGGAAGATCTGAGAACTCTAACAGGTAACTGAAATGTATGACGGCTAGCACCTAAGTGTCCTTGGTGATTGAGGACCACTTGTCGAAAAACGGGGCTAGAACAGGAAGGTGGGACAGGTTGAAAGGAAGATTCAGTATAGGACAGTCAAAGATATTGTTTGCCCTTCTTGGCAGGGCGACGGAAATTTTGACAGCGTTGACCAGAAGTTTGCAATCGGAAAGAAGTATTGGCAAGGAAGATGGATGAGGATTAGATATGTCTTGAGGAGGCTTGTACTGACGATATGCCTGTTGGTAAGGTTGCTGATACAGATGGTAAGAAGTGATGGGTTTACGCCATTGTTGCTGCTGGTATTTGGGCTGCTGAACATAAGATCTTGCTGTTTTTCTGATCTCATGTAGATTCTCCATCACTTCATCAGTTTTTTGATTGAAAAGCTCAGCACCATCAAACAGAAGTTCCTCAATTCTGGACCTGGCGTCATCACTGATGCCTGCCAAACATAGCCAGGCATGCCTCCTCAGGGCTATAGCTGATCAGAGATTTAGAAGCAGCATCAGCTATATGACGCGATGTCAGTCATTGCTGCTTCGCCAAAGTCGTCGCTTCCACCCTAGTGTCTTCAGGTGCAGCCTGCAGAACTGGTAAGACCTTGGTCCACAATTCTCTTTGGTAGGTGCCCATCGCTGCCTGGTAGTTGGAGACTCTCACTATGAAGGACACAAGCAAGTACATGTGACAGCCTAAGACATTGAGATTACAACCCTCTTTATTAGTGGGAGCGAGCTTGGAGCAATTTCCTGCCCTTGATTGATCTGACTGCACGATGATGGAGTTAAGTGCAGGATGTTTGTTAAGGAAGGTTGTATCACCACCATGCCACATCTTATAATGATTTTCGATGCATCTTGACATTTGCACCGATGTAGGAAGTTACTCCATGATTCTTTAATAAGATCTAACATAGACAGGATGAAGGCTAAAGTTAAAGGAGGGGATCTGTCCTGATTCAAATAATCAAAGACCAAGTCCTGCTTGGGAGGAGGAGGGTGGTCTGCGGCCATCTATAGAATTAACTGGGAATATGACGTGGAATCTTCAGACCGAGACAGTGGACAAATATCAGCTACATCAGAGTCCGGTGTAGGTAAACTGGAAGGTGACTCTGTAGAAACCTCTGAATAGAAGTTCTGTTCAGACACTGAGGACATTGATGGACTCTTAGACTCTCTGTCAGAAGATACAAAAAGTGAAGGAGAACAATGGTGAACCCTCGATACGGAAGCAGTAACCCATGAAACTGGTGCAGAAAATTGAGTTTCAGGTCTATGGATGGTTTTTGCAGGCACTGTCTCTTTAGATGAATGGGAGTGTGAAGACTTTGGGCGCAATACCGATGGAGCCAGTACCGATGGGTCCTGTGAACACTTTGACAGGTGAAGTGTACTCTGCTCTTGAGGAAGCAGACGTTTAGTAGCATGCCTCAAAGTTGTTGGGTCGAGCTGGATGTATGCTTGATGTCGACATCGAGGTGGCAACGGCAACCGGGAAGATTTTGATGGTGACACATACACATATCTGATCCACTTGGGTTTAACATATTTCGTGGTGTCATACAAAGGACTGATGTCGTCCTCACGGTATCGGCGCTGACCACCATGCCGATCCACCTCCACGTAAAGCAGCTCCTGTTGTTCCAGAATAGAATGATGCCACAAGGGACGAGGGAATACTAACACATCCTACTGCTGAGAAAGCTGTCAGCATGGAGATACATGCCGATGCTTCACAAGCTATTTACGAGGAGATTGACGTGGTGAAACTTTGGAATTAGATAACTCAATCATCATTGCCCACCCGGTAGAAACAGGGCTCGAATGGGCCGAGGTCCAGCTTCAAAATACATCAGCATCATGAAAGCCAGAGGTCAGAGACAAGTTCAGTGCCGACATCAAAGCCTGCGGTTCTGGGCTGTTGTAAAAAGTCATCACCCTCCGATAAAGACTCAGGATCTTGCACATCGCTGCAGGATTCCTCGAGGATAAGCTACGGTAAAGCACCTCGAACTGGAGGAAAATCTTTATACTGTACTGATTTTGAAGAGTGCTTGGTCTTATGCTTCACTGCTTCTTTCTTCTTTTTGGGATCCTTCATCTGTACCTTCGGTATTGATGCTGACCCCAATACCGAAGACTTCTTCAGTTTGGAGATTTTGGATGAAGCCCTTGATGACGTGGTGGCAGGTGCCAATGAGGCAGCGGTATCAGGGTGAAGGGTTGGAGGTGCCGAGGGTACTGCTCCATGGCTGTTGGGCCCGACGGTGCTAGCGACTTCTCCCAAAGGTAAGACCGAAGTCGCTGCAAACGGAGTTTGAGTGAGGGCTTAGTTAACTTCTTGCATTCCTGGCACAAAGTGGGTTGATGCATTTCCCCCAAGCAAAACAAACAGTGGCCGTGGCCGTCTGAGAATGGGATTTTACCAGCACACGACACACAACGTTTGAAAGGGCCTGAAGAGTCCATAAAATTTGGCAGGAAAGGTGGCGAAGGCTAATGAAGAGAGAATCAACACACGGGAAACGTCGTCCGATAACAGTCCAGATCAATCCAAGAAATCAAGCTGAGAAATTTAATCTAAGTCCAATCCGCAATCCAAATCAAAATCCATAAACAGTCCAAGGGTCAAAGGAAATATAACAATCAGCCAAATCAAAAAACGATACTCGAAAATCAGGTCAGTCCACGTCAAAATATCCAGACAAGCTAAGACATAGTCAAAAAACAGTCCGAGATCAAAAGCCAACGATTTCAAAGTAGTATAAAGAATTAACAGCTCTAGCGATGCGAAGAGGTCCTATTGCAGCGGTGACAAAAAGGAACTGACGTACCGCAGGCAGATGGAGCATGCGTAACACGGGCAGACATTTTACCGCTAAGTTTATTAGCTCTAGAATATTCTGAGGAGTCCTACACAGGCACAGTTTAACCCATTCGTGTGCATTCTCAGAGACTACGAAGAAGAACTTCAAATTTTGTCCACATTATGCAACTGTATTTCAGCCAATGTGTTTTTACATGCCCCAAGCCAGCTTGTTACTGTTTGCTGCACAAAGTTGGGAGGAGAAAAGCAGTAGGTCATTGCTTTCTGCAGTCCCAATATTAGCTATCCTTTATCAGTCTGTGCACAACAAAGTCTACCCAGGGAACACTGCCCACACATTTTATTTGATCCTACCTGTAAATGCCAACAACCACAGCATGATCTCGCTCATAGGGCTCCAAAGTCAATTGTTCTTGTGGTTTCATATTCTCCTGCTGCATCTTCTTCACCTCTGATGCAAAGACTGCTTCAGGGGCTGCTGTTGAGTCAATGCAGTTAGCCTGGAAGCAACAGACCAAGTTTATCAGCCAAACATCAGTCCTTGAAGTATGGCTTGATGGAACAACAAATCACAACTTTAATACATTAGCACATGTGGCTATTCCATGCACTCAAAGAAACTGTGAAGAAATATTCCCCTTCATAGTCCTACAATGGCTAAACTTACAAACTGTATAAATAGAAGACCTATCAAAGAATCTGAAAAAAGTGGGGAAATTATTTTGATGATTTAAACAAATAAAAAGGGTGCAGAAATACAGTGGTGCCTCGCTAGACAGTTACCCCGCATGACAGTTTTTTCGCTATGGTGAGTCGCAAAACAGTGATTTCTATCTGGAATTTCGCTGGACAATGTTTGGTCCCTATTTCGCAAAACCGATTTTCACTAGACGACGATTTTGACAGTTGTTTTTGGGACCTAAGCTTCGCAAGACAGCGATTTAAACAGCTGATCGGCGGTTCGCAAAGCAGCTTTTCTATGGCCGATCTTCGCTAGATGACGATTCTTCCCCATTGGAACGCATTAAACAGGTTTCAATGCATTCCAATGGGGAAATGCTTTTCGCTAGACAATGATTTTGCTGAACAACGATTTCAGCGGAACAGATTATCATCGTCTAGCGAGGCACCACTGTAATGCTGTAAAAAAGAAAGCAGATGTTAAACGAGTAAAAAAATTGGACTAAGAATAAGGATGAGCAATTTAAAGCACAGAATAGTATGTTTAGTATAGAGCAGGGGTCGTCAACCCCCAGTCCGCGGCCCGGTACCAGTCTGTGGGCTTGCTGGAACTGGGCCGCGGATACGGATCTCCGCCCGACCCGCACATTCATGCAGGGGCGTGTCACAGAACAAGGAAGTAGGTCAACTGAAGCCTTTATGTTACACACTCCCGCACCAAGAATTTAAAGGTAATGTCGTCTTGCCATGGCCAGTGACATAACGGCGTGGCCAACTTATGAGTGAGAAACCCATTTTTGTTAATTCTGGCCCCGTCAAGGGAAGAGTGTCTGGCTGATCATGTCATCAAGAGGCGGCTTGAGAAGGAAACTAGACACAGAAGCACTCTCTCCCATCCCACCCCCATCCTGTGTTTTATGACGGTGCTTATAGATGTCGCGGAACCTCCTGGCCGCATTTCGGCTGTTGCGCGATGGAAAGGATATGGTGTTACACCACCCAAGATGTGAGGCATTATGGGGGGCATGTTTGAAAATCATGCCTCTCCCTCCCTTTCCTTCAGCGGTTTTATTAAAACGGCACCTTAAATAACGGGGTAGGTGAAGACAGGGCAGGGGAGAAGCGGTCCTCGGAAGTTGGATTGGGGGACCAACAGTGAGGGTGAATATGTGAACCTTCCTGGTGATGCCAGGATGGCGAGCCTGGATCAGAAATTATGGGGGGCATGTTTGAAAATCATGCCTCTCCCTCCCTTTCCTTCAGCGGTTTTATTAAAACGGCACCTTAAATAACGGGGTAGGTGAAGACAGGGCAGGGGAGAAGCGGTCCTCGGAAGTTGGATTGGGGGACCAACAGTGAGGGTGAATATGTGAACCTTCCTGGTGATGCCAGGATGGCGAGCCTGGATCAGAAGTCTAGTCTCATCCTCCTGCAGAAGCCGTGCTGCCGCATCCTGGGGAAAGGCGAAGGTAATGCCAGGGATCGCCTCCTCAGAGCCTGCTAGGAAGGGCTGCTTGGCTCCCTGCTACCAAGTGAAGGTCTGGAGAGA